TAATAATTACATTCTGTTCTGAATATAAAATTCAATACTTTCACTAAAAAAAGCAAAGAATAACTCATGTGACGTATTTAGAATTAGGGAAGGTGTAATAAGCGCGTGGCAGCTTACAGCACCTTTTATTGTTTTATAACTTTCCACGGAAACCTTTTTTAAACACGTGAGTAAGGTTATCTGTTTTAGTAAAGTAGCTATGACTTGAGATAATCTGCCTTTTGTGAATTTACAACGKTAACTAACCACCACAAGTTTCTGCAGAAGTGTGCTAAAAATAACAAACGCAGGCTGTGACTTTATAAACATTAAACAACTTACAGGTTGTCGCTTTGGCCATGAGATAAGACACGATTCTTCTTCGGGTGAGAAACTTCTTCTTCTTCTGTTGTTGAAAAGTGCTTCTTCTTACTTTCTGCTTCTATAAAAACTTTGAATTGTGTGTGAGAAACACGGAGCTGTAGTTTGAAGGGAGCGCTCGTCTGTCCTGAACCGACCTGCAGGAGAAGAAGAGTGAGCCGTCCAAAACAGCAGGCGCGCGCCGGAGTCACGCATGCGCACTAAGAGTAATAAAGTCACAAATATCTGCGCACCTTTCAAGTGCTTGTTGTTGAAAATGATGAGTCAGCGATGGCTGTAAATCAATTRCAGGAACTATACTTATTTATTAATGTTTATTTAACCAGGCAAATCATTGTGACCTCTTTTGTAATGGATGCCTGGACTGCAGGAGAAAACCCAAGCAAGCACGAAAACATGCAAACTCCGCACAGAAAGACCCCAGGTCCGACCTGGGGGTTGTGCTGTGAGACATCACTGCCAACCACTGAGCCGTCGTGCTGCTCTATTTACCTGATCAAAAAGAAAAAAAAAATTGTGTAGGCAAGGCCGGATTAACCATATGGGCAATTGGGCAACTGCCCAGGGGCCCACGGTCTCCAAAGGGCCCTGGGCAGTGAAGGCACGGACATAACGGATGCGGGATATATGTGGACATGTCTCCCTGAGTCCCCGCACTTCCTGCATCTGCGCTCTCTGTCCCCGCACTTGTCTTAGCCGTAACAGCTGTTTTATCCATTATTAACATATGGTAATGGTTTTTCAGAGACGTCTTTGAACGCACCATAAGCGTGCGCAAGCTAGTCCTGCAGATGAGATGAT